TTGACTGGCTTTGAATAAATTCAACAGAACATTGGCTGAATCAATCAATAATTGATTAATTATCAATAATCAATCTTCGGCTGAATCAATATGAACAATCAACTTATCAGTCAAGCAAGACATAATTTGATGCCCCACGTTTAGTATGTAAAAAATATTGAGATAATCGTTAACAGCCATCTAGTCGATAACCTTTGAAAAGTTAACAACTATCATGGTCATTAAAAAATCTATACAACCAATGATTCTCCGTACGTAGGCACCTTTCTTCATTAGATATCACGTCTTGAGAAGCGCGACGGCAAACCACAATTAAAACGTACGCGTTTCTTGTGCGGTCAATAATTTTATTATTACCAAACTATCGTTCTGAAATGCAGTTAAACTGAATCATATTCTTTTTCAGGAACTAACGTTTAAAGGAGGATGATTTTGGAGAGAGAAATGTCGTTCAGGTGATAAAAATTAATTTATCGTTGAATGTTGTTATATATAACCGATATATATGTGTCAATTATAACCATCTTTTATAATATTAATAGTTCTATTTCACGGTTAGATTTTTATGCACTATATATTTTAAGAATTTTCACGGCATTTGCATTCATGCTTAAGCTGCGCATTGATGAGGACAGCCACATGACTACGCAATTTGACATAACCGGTCTGCCAAATACGAGATCATAACAGCACACTAAGTACATTGGTACGTATGTGTACGTGTCAATATAGTATAAATGTGCTGCAATGATCAGAACCCTTGCCTAGCTGTTTAAGTCCAGTCGCAGAGAAGCGAAGTCCCCAGCAAAATGAGAAAAAGGAGGAAAGAAAGTTAAGACTTCCGCCGATCTCATTATTTCGCGCAAAAGTTCCTTAATAAAGGATTTTGACTTGAGTTCCAAGAACTGAAGAGTTTTCAGATATGTACTTGAATCTTAAGGAAGAGTGGAATTTTTTAAACAGTTTATCCGCAAACGAAAGTCGGTGAGGTTTTTTAGTTCGTAACTTTGCGAACTAGAATGCGTTTTGCTGAGCAAAAAAAAAAGTTCTAGTAACTGAATCTGTTTCATAAAGAACTAAATTGAAAATAGAGACCAGCGGTTTTGATAGACAATTCAAACAAATATTTACCTCTTCTGTAGAGCTCATACCAATTCTACTAAAATCAATTTGACCAACAAACTACATAAGTATTTAACATATATTGGACACTGACAGAATATTTTGAATTAGATAAAATTATTGGTGCAACCGATTCAGATAACTAATTAATAAATGAAATTGTAGGTAGCACTTCAAGAGATGAAGGGGTGACTCAGCATATAATAAGGAATCGTATCTGTTCATATCAATTTTCCATGTCAGAAGCTCTTAGACTTATTGTTCTCAGATATTACGCGATAAAATTACGAATTAAAGATAACTGATGGGTATATTGATCAATTAAAGTCCTATCAGCGATACGGATCGACATCGCAAAGATCAAGCTGATTAAATTGAGAGCGTTTTGTTGGCTGCCCCCCGGGTGTCTTGGAACCGAAAAGCCGCTGCTGCTGCTACCCCAGGGTGCAAGCTAGCGAGTAAGTGGGAAGCCTTACGAGTCCCGAGTAATAAGTTGAAGTGCACTGATATCGTGCGGCGATATTGTATCAGTTTAATCAGAATAATCAGTTGACTGCATAGGATTATGTTGGAGTGAACTTATCTAATATGTTTAATTGAACGTCTGAAATGATAGTCTTGGAAATAGTTTTAATTTTTTTACCGGTTAATTGAACTGCTTTAAGATCATTATAATTTGCTTATAATTCATTTGATTGGCTTATTATGATGCCATAAAACCATCATCTGTTAGCCAACGTGTGGGGCTTCCACGAAATCAATGTCGTCACGAAATGACGCAATAAAATCAATACGTTGCCACGCAATGTCCACTTGCGTGCGACCCTTCGTGATTAATGCGACATGGGCAGCGTTGAGCTTTGATTATTTCATCGTTAAGTTCGACCAATCAGAGCATCCTGAGCACTAGCTTTAATTAATCAAATGAATCTCATCACACGAGAACCAGCGCTGGGCTGGAGAAAAACGAAACCCTCCGTTCCATTTTAACGAAGGGTGAGCTGAAGTAAAGGGACAGAAAGAGGTGAAGAGTAAAAGAGAGGGAATAGAACATTGAACAGCTGAAACACGAAAAGGGCAACATAAACAGAAAGGCAATTGATCAGATGAAGATATATAAAGACTGTAAAGTTACAAATGCAATATTTATCAAGCAGTTGTGATTCTGCCTCAGAAATGACAAGAGCCGAAACATGCCTTGACGTTTACTAAAAATAAAATATGGTACAGTCATTGCGACTCCATTATTGACAAACTTCGCCTAAACAAAGTTTGTGACAAACTACGCCCGGTGCTTTGAGAAATGGTTTGAAAATAAATTAATGCATCTAAAATTTCTCGTCTCACTGTATCTTTTACTGAATGTTGATGAATAACAATAACTGCGCCAAGAAACTTCACTATACACTCGTGAAATTTAATTATATGCATACCATATTCCTCTTACCACATTATTCTAAACAATAAATCAAAACTTTTACTCAATTTTAAAAAAGGTAATACTGCAAAAGATTATTTCAGCGTTCAGCCGTGAGACACAAAATTGGTTTCTTAAGGAAGGAACCTAAAAGGACAAGAAATTAAAAAACAATGCAAGCCAGTGAGAGGAACGCCAACTCTACAATATACATGTAGAATCCTCAACAAGAGAAGCCTCAATCCTCAACAAGAGAATTCGATCTCAAGCCATAGAATCCAGAGGTTTGAAATTGAGACGAAAAACAGGATCTGAGAATTTAAGCCAACGCCCTTGGAAGGCGAGTTTAAATATAACTCTCGTTGCAAATAGATGAAGAGCTCACATCCAACGAGGCTTGTGAAAGGAGAACTTCTTGTTAATATATAAATTCCGGATTTGTGAACAATATTATATATAAACAACCTTCATGATTTGTGAACAATATTGTTAATTCCTGATGTGGAATTGTTGAACGTAAGTAATTCTATCAAAATTCTGTCAGGCATGCACCTATAATCGATTCAATTGAATAGCTGTAGTTTATATAGAATATTCAAGAGAAAATTCTAATGAAATAATATTTTCCAGAGAATTTTACCAAAGCATATGGCAAAAGTATTCAAATAAGAGAAAGCTTAAGTTTGAATAAATTTATATAACATGTTATAGTCCTAAAAAATGAATTATAGACAAGACTACGCTGCGGGTCGTTTTCTGCTCAGATCAACAGTAACAAAATTAGCATTAACTCGATCAGGCATGAAACTCGCCCCAACCCAAATAAATTGGTTTTTGAAATTCACCCAAGTTAAGGAAACTCCAAAAAACGAACGCAAAATACACGCCAAGTCTCTGTACTCAGTCTGGCGGCAGCTGAAAATCGGTATGTACCTTAGAAATGTTATAACAGCTGTGAAGTCTGGGGTTAACACTCGGCACACAACACACGAGGATGTAACGTGCGTACCGGCATGGAGTTTTATGTACATGAAAACTGGAAATTGCGGGAACGATCGCTGAGAAAACGTCCCAATAAGCATCCAACGCTAAATAACGGTAATTAAACGTTGTTTCGCCGAAATAAACACGTAATCAACGTTGTTTCAACGTCATTTGCTCGTAGGCGCGGCTCGAGACGACAGCTCCATCAGCCATCCGTCCAATGAGGCAGCTAATACGAGACTGATCCGCCAAAGCACAAAGTATATCATGACCGATAATGGATTTAGCTCACGTTGAATGATGCGTTTGAAAGCAACGAGGTCAGAGGTTTCATATATCATGTCCCACTGACAATTATTTCACTGTCCCCAAATTCGAAAAGTATTAAGTGACACAAGGATTCTGAACAGACCTCGTGAAACTCCACAGCCATGCTCAACATTGTTGTCGCAAATGACTGCCCTTTACTCATCACGAATCCCAATTTCTTTCTAGGTGTCAGTGACTTCAGGAACGTCATTCATGACTTCAGGAAGTCTTAATCATGAACATACATGTGAGTCTCATACATTAACATAGATGTTAGACTCATTCATGGACAATCATTTTTTATTAATATTTAAACATTCATGAGAGTCTCATACATAATATACATGTTGGTCTCACACATGGAAAAACATGTTCGCGTTATACACAAACATACATGTTGGTCTCATACATCTTAACATACATGTTCGTCTTAAACACAAACATACATGTTGGTCCATACATGAATATACATGTTCGTCTTATACACAAGCATAAATGTTGGTCTAATACATGAACATACATGTTTGTATCATAAACAAACATACATTTTGATCTCATACATGAACATAAATAAAACATAAAATAAACATTAAAAAAATGATTGTCTCATACGTGGACACATTTCCATATGTTATTCTCATACATGAACAATTGAACGTACATCTTAGTCTCATGTATGAACATACATGTTAATCTCATATATGAACCTATATGTCAATCTCATACATGAACATGCATGTTAGCGTCATATATAAGCATACATGTTGTCTCATATATGAACGCACATGTTGTTCTGATACAAGAACGTACATGTTAATCTCATACAAGAACATACACGTTTGCGTCATACATGAACATACACGTTTGCGTCATACACAAACATACATGTTGGTCTAATACAAGAACATACATGTTGGTTTAATACAAGAATATGCATGTTAATCTCATACATGAACATACATGTTTGTATCATGCACAAACATACATGTTGTTGTTCTAATACAAGAACATACATGTTAGTCTCATACAAGAACATACATGTTGATCTCATGCACAAACATACATGTTGTTGTTCTAATACAAGAACATACATGTTAGTCTCATACAAGAACATACATGTTGATCTCATGCATGAACATACATGTTAGTGTGAATGGCAAAAACTGACCTTGGTACGAGGTAGCGGCCAAGTAGATCTTGTAGGGATCGGACGGCGAGTTTGGCATGAGGTCGGCACTTGGGTTGATCAATTGTCCGTCTGATCGACAAAGTTTGATGACATCACACTGGCCGGCATTGGCGACTTTCCGTAGTAATTCTGCAAAGAAATAAAGTGCGTGCTTAGGAAACAGTGAGTATAGACAAAGAAACCCTAAGGAACAAAACAGGTATGGCATTCTCGTCAAAGTAATTATGCGGAGAAATAGGGTGCATGCGTAGGAATTAGTGAGGTTAGACAAAAAAATTTTAAGGGAAGTACTGAAATAACATTTCTTTCTTATCAAAGTAATTCTGCAAAGAAATATATATATAGTGCGTGTTTAGGAAGCAGTGTGGGTAGAGTCGACAAGTGAAATATTAAGGATATTACTGGCTTGACATTTTTGACTTTTACTGACCAAAATAATCATTTATTAAAATAAAAAATTTGTAATTTCTCTATTTTTATGCAATCGCTTTCGTCTGCCAGAATCAGGAAAAGTTATATTTTACTCATTGTATTTAACCCTTTCACAAACATTCCTAAATTACTTGTGGATGTAACAATGTGACATATTTGTAGTGAATGAATAAAACGTAGGTTCAATTTCTTAAATTATTTTCTGTTACATTAACGCGAATCTAATTGTGAAAGAGTTTCCCTAATTGTCAAAAGGCAACTAAACATTAACTAGAAATTATGATCGAAAAAATGTTCATGAACATTATAGCATTGATATGTATGAGTGTATGTTGCAGCTCGTGATTGTTGCGTATTAATACTTAAAAAAACATGAAAGTCATGCGCATTAATACTGAATAGGGTAACATGGGGCAGCGAGCCCACTGCGGGTCACGGGCCCATAGCGGGTTTCTCGCTAAGTATGGCAGATATTGGTCCGTGTTCTCTCCCGCCGGTCGACAGTTTCACTGGGATGAAGTGTACGGATTTACGTTTTGCTAAGTGTTTGCGTTATTAAGATATTTGTGAATAACTGTTTCAGCCCAGATAAAGTTTTTTTTTTTGCTGCTAAATAAAACTGTTTTCGATTACCGTAGATGAAGCTTTTGAAATTACAGTGAATTATATTTTGAAAGTGATATTTATAGGGATAATTTTGAGATCAAGTTCAGACTATTAGCTTTTAAAATAAAATGTTGACACGATATAAATTGAAATGATACCTAGTGGGGCAACGGGCCCACGCGTGTCACGGGGGCAAAGCGCCCATGGTGAAGTCTTGTGTTATACATCATTAGATTTGTCTCAATGACCTTTTCAAACTATGACTAGCTTTTTGAATTACAAATTACACTTCATATTGCATGATTTTTTGATTTGCCGCCTCAAGGCAGCAAGTTTAGTTTATAGTTATGCGTATTTATGACCCCTTATCGAGTTATTGACTCTTGCCTTGCCAATAGTTGATTTCAGTCAACACCAATGAGCCAAAAGTTGATCAGTTTTTATGGTCTTGGCTGAAATCACGATTAGGTACGAATTCTCTGTACATAATATCTGGATTATGGACGAAACTGGAACGAAGTTTTTTTCTGATCAACTAAATATATTTTTTTCAGTCAAGGATACATTTTTTCATGTCAAGGACGACTTTTTTTATCCCAAGGATATATTTTTCAAGTCAAGGATATATATTTTTATGTCAATTAAATATTTTTCTTCACGTCAGTGATAGACTTTTTGAGCCAAGAGTATATTTTTTCAAGTTAAGGATATGATTTTTTGAGTTGTTAATAAATGAATGAATGTCATATTTTTTATTACATTTTTCTTGTATTTAACTGTAAAATGTTGCTTTATCATTTTTAAACGAAAAATATGCAATTGTCGTAAAGGGAACATGGGTGGGCGCCTTGCCCCAAGCCCATGGGCCCATTGCCCCAGGGGTGGGGCAACGGGCCTATTTTGACACTGTTTAAATAAATAGTGATAAAAAAACTAAACACTAAAATAGAGTTTCATTAAAAATTGAGTTACTTTATAGGCGTCTAATTCACATCATACATACCTCATTAGTTGTACCTTTAAACAAAACAAAGAACCATATCGTATCAATTAAAACTTCATTGAAAATTTAGTTTAAAAAAAGTGGGGGGGGGGCTGCCCCATGTTGTCCTATATCCCGAATAATAATGCCATATTAAATAATGTGATCAAAGCAAATCGCCTGCAGTGCGACGCATCTCGTTCAAAATCATCAGCCAAGCCTGTAGAACAATGAGGCTAAGCCTTCAATTTTGAACCTATGGATATTAAGAGGATGTAATTTGTACAGGCGAGATAGAAATTAACTACAGTCATGAGGAGAAGCGTCTTAGCAAACAATTGAAATATTACCTGCAAAAATGCTCATTGCTAAACTCTGCATTGTTAAATTAGATGCTTAAGAGTAATTTAAAGGAAAAATAATCAGAAAAATGAGATTTCGAAATTCCACAAAAAAATTGAATGGAGCCTCGATACCAAAATTCAAAATCATTTCACAAAAGTTCACAGCTTTGGTTATTCAGACTTAGATTTCGAATAGCTTAATATAAACCTCAATCTACAATTTTTATTTCAGTCACCGCGTGTTCAGTGAAAAACATATGGCTTCCCTAAATAACATCTGGAAAGCGATCGTTCAGTTCACAAGTAACCTTCAAAACACCATAAGTATCTGAGACGTACCGCTGACGTTGTCAACATCGTCCAATAATTAATTTAGACATGAAAAGGTCATCCGAGTTTCGTCAATGAGTTTCGACAATTCTCGAGGGCTCGCGTGCTATTCATCGTGAAGCCCACATGAGAGCTCGGCGTCTCGGAAACTAACTGGCACGCGCTGCCACGGAACAAGAATGAGTGGAAATTCTTCCAGAGTCATGGGAATTCAGGGTAAAATATTCACTGCGGACGAAATAGAAAGCTTCTGCTTCTTCACCTGTGGGCAAAAGTGAACACGTGCGTCACCAGCTAAAATTAAAAGCGCTTATTTCAGAAGGAAAGGAAAATAGCCAAACATTACCAGCTGGAAACACACACATATATATTAAATTTGACTTCTGATAGGCATTCGGGGTCTGCTGCTTAAACATTCGCAAGTTAACCTTTGCGAAAACTTCCTAAAAATTCCATAAATATTTCTTTGAGATTGACCAAATCAATTTTCGTTAAAATAAATTCTGCTTCATCGTGAGCTTTTCCATAAAAGGCAGCATAATTATTTTGCGAAGCGCATTCGTTCTGTTGATCCCATAAAAAGGACGTAGACTCGAAGAAATATTTAAAATAATATTATGAAATATATTGATATTCCGGTAAAAGTTTCTAAAGAAGCCTTGCGACGAAGGCCTATTCCGACCCCTTCAATGCACCTGGGATCACAATCATTAGTGTAAAATTGTTATCAATTGTCAGCGGAACATCAAATTTAATCTATAGGAGTTGACTTCTTATAGAGAATCTTTGGTTTGCAAAAGAGACCAAGGTACACTGAGACCCGCCTGATAATTGATTGAATTGCGTAAATGCCATGAAGAACGGACGCTGTTTGCCATGAGGAACGGACGCTGTTTGCCATGAGGAAAGATGCTGTTGGCCATGAGGAACGGACGCTGTTTGCCATGAGGAACGGACGCTGTTTGCCATGAGGAACGGATGCTGTTTGCCATGAGGAACGGATGCTGTTTGCCATGAGGAAAGAATGCAGCTCACGTACCATGAGGATTGGATGAGGTTCACCCCGAAGAATGAATGCTGATTGATACGAGAAATTGCTGTTGTTTGCAGTAAGAAATGGATATCGTTTACCATAAGGATTGGATGCCGCAGGAAATATATGCTGTTTGCTGTGAAGAGTGAATGCTGTTAGCTACGACTAATAAATACTTTTTCTAGAGAAATGGATGCTCTTTGCCAAAATTCAATCGCTTACAATCGAATTGATTTTAGATTGCAATCACCAAAAGAAAAAAGATAACTTCCCTTTATTTTTGAATGAGTGAAGTAACAAGATTCGGCCTGCCAAAACCATTAATAATTAATTCCTTGTTGATTTCCGAAAAAATATTATTCATTCAATGGCACTAACTGGATCATCGTTATTATATTCAATAAATGTGTTGTCCTTGTTCTAGAAAAATTATCATAATTTGGATGTTATATCGTGGCAAAATATAGAAAGCCGCTTGAATTTTCATTAATAATAAAAAATATGCTTGTGTGTACGTGTGAAAGAAGTTACAATTTAAAATTTCAACCTCAAAAATTAAGGAATCAAACAACAAATATTTTTTCCTACCGTTATAAGCATTCATGAAAATAAATTTGGTCCAGGCGCCTATTTGTTCGTAGAAACAAATTTCAAATCAGGGCAAGTGAGAAGCAATCTCACTAGAGTCTGCCGTTAAGGGTGCCCCCTGAGCTCTTTGTTTTATTGGAGCGTTCATCAGCAAACACTTTTATTTCTATTGCATTACTTCCTCGTCTTTAAGAGCTCGTCTGCATCCTCTGACTGCATCAAATATGGACGACGACTTGCGGTTTAATAATTTAAAATTTTATATAAATTGGATATAAAAGCGTTCGATTTAATTATTCAATTTTATATGCATGAGGTTTACCTGAAGCCTTCGTCTTCCTACAGCCACTTAAAGAAACGTCGAACTCTTTGTCCACGAATGTTTTGCTGAGTTTTGTTAATTATTTCAAATGTATAGGGTATTTTAGGCAAATGAGTTCAAATAAAACTATGTTCTATGTCAAACGGTTGGATCACCCTATATCATTATTTATGAGGTTGTTTATTTACCGTTTAAATAATTGTATTTGTATCATTGATATTCCGTTTATTTCTCGACTCTAATTTAAAGGATGAATTTTGACCAAATGAATACTCGAGCTCGTATCTTTTAAATTTGGTCAACTTAAAGGAGAGCAAAATTTTTACCACCGGAAACTTGGACACGGGATTGCAATATCATGAGGGCTGTTTAATGAGAGATTGGGCAGTGATTATAGTTAAATATTCTCAGAAAATTTGAGGAGTAGTTTTTTTCGAAATTATGTCACACTTCCAGCATTTAGTGCTGTCCCTGCTTTTCTCCTGGTCAACCTGGGTCAAGATGCCCAAAGATGGCAGAAAGTACTTCTCTACTTTTACTACATGTTATTAGCTACATGATATGCAATCGGGAAGACTTTTATATAATACTTTGCATAATATGAATCTTTTGTCGTATTAAATAAAATAGCGGTACTTCTCGTTGTCATTTCTGCCTCCCACTTCCGACCATTTACCGTCAATTATTTCCCCCATAACTTACAAGGCTGACATTTCAGTGATTAAACCAGGTGATTTCTCGGGCGAATTCAATACTGGTTTGAAATCGAAAAACGCCGACCATCAGCAAAGACTGGAAGCCGAAAATTAACCCAGTTCACATCGCCAGTTTAATGTCTCCTGAATACTACATTCGGTGTGGGCAGTTTTTAAATGCAGATTATATCAAAAAATTACATGCAAAACAAATGCAAAAACAAATTACAAGTACAAGCCATGGATGGACGAATGAAAAGCAGAATGAGCAATTTCTTAACTTAAACTGCTAGAATTTACGGAATTTCGGATACAAATTACAACTTTAAACTTTCCATGTAATTGAGCAGGACCAAATGTTTATTTTTTGCATAACTTATTTTTTCAAGCCCCGCTATCTGTGACTCAAACCAGACTTACCGATACAGTAAGAAATTTGTTTCAGTTTCCAATATTAGCTAGAAGAAATCTTTCATTTTGATTTCGACTATACTTATAGCCTTTATTTATCATATAATCGAAGTTGCTCAAACCATAATCATTTCATTAAAAATTTAATATTATAATCGAAGGTAATCGAACTATAATTAATTATTATGCCCAATCTAAGAAACATTACTTTTCATTTTCTAGTTTATTTCCTAGTGCTAACAGTCAGCTTGTATAATCTTTATAATAATTACTGAACATCGTGAGATTCCGACCTCTGACGCCATCAGTGGTGATGTTGGCCGACAGAGCGATAGTCTTGACCTGTGACCCAGCGAGCACATACACGACCTTCTCTTTACCCTCCTCCATGCCCCATGGCAGGCCACGCCGTATCCTGCAACAAAATTATGAACAAAGTTAACTTTTAAAATATAGTATAAATATGTGAGTGTGAGGTGTACAAAGTTACTTTCACTCCAAGTTACTTTCTACAATGGAGTGAAAATGTATAAAAAGTATTGCGTTGAAACGCACGGCATGGCAGGCGCTGCCGTATCCGGCAAATGAGCCGGATTAATATGTGGATTAATAATTTTTGATTAATATGTGGAAAATGCTTGGCGCCGCCTTATCCTGCAACCAAAATATAAACAAACTTACATTCTAAAGAATAGAATAAAAATGTGAATGTGAGGTCCGTACCTCGTAACAAACAATAATTATTCAATGCTGCGCTACCGTCTACAATGCAGTGAAATTATGTAAATTAATCGAGTTTTATGGTAACGCAATTTGCAAGCACCATTGATCCAGAACATGTTATTTATCGTCTTTATGATGTTCCGGCCGTATTAACTGCACACACAGTTAAACTTGAAAGCACAGGTAAAATTTTAATTAGTCTCAGCCATTGAAGAACTCTCTACGGCTGCATTAACATTCAATCTGACCATCGCGCTGAGCTGTGTTAGCATCGCCAGATCTTTCATTCTCATCACTTTTCATGCATCGGGTAAAATATTCGGTATTTAAGTCTATTGCATTATATATCCTTTCATGATTACTTTTCCTTTTAAATTGGAAAATACAAACGCTAATTCCATTTGTGTATTTTGTTTTGAGTTTCAATCTCGGACGACCAAACTTAATTTGTTACGAGATTTTTCCGTTCAATGACATCAGAGGGAAATGTGATGAAGTGAAGAGGAGTAATTGGATGGAGAGTGTCGGGATATCCTATCAAAAGGAGATTATAACAGCAGTTATTTACTATTAAAAAACTTTGTGCTGATTTCTGGTGCGTAGCCCGATGAAGCTCGAAAATTTTCCTGCGTCACAAGTTTTCCTACGTTGAACAAAAAGCACTTCACAAGTTGATTCTTTTCGGAACGGTTCTTTTAATTAATTTTTAGTAACAAATACAATTGACCAGTTTAAATAATTGTTGCGATATAAAAAAATTGTTCATACTGATAAAAACTTATCAGTAGTACTGATAAAATGTCATTCAAGTTAGATCAGCCAAAACTTTCATCTCATTTGACGAAGAAATATCGATGGTGAATAAATTTTGATTTTTCATTTCAGAATCAGAAACCTGGAAAAATTAGCTAGAAAAAAATACCAATCTATAGGTCTCCAGCGCTTGACAATCTCAGAAGAATCTAACCTGCGGAGATCGATCAGCTAATTATCTTACCTGTTGGGATCAACTTACGATCAGCTGACTAATTATCTTACCTGTGGGGATCAACTTACGATCAGCTGACTAATTATCTTACCTGTTGGGATCAACTTACGATCAGCTGACTAATTATCTTACCTGTTGAGACCAACTATCGATCAGCTGACTAATTATCTTACCTGTTGGGATCAACTATCGATAGCAGCTTGACGCTCAGCGAAGGATTATAAGCGTGCTGAAGGAATTATTCGGAGTCAAAAGTATATTATATGCTTTTTGTATCAAGTGTTCATATCATTAGTCTGCCTAAATCTCAAGTTCACATGAATTTGAAAGCAAATAAAATGTCAGTCCAATTCAGAGTATCTTCATTGAAAACGTTTCGTAAACCAGCTCCATCATCAGTTCACGAAATTTAACCAATTGCAAGTACACACTTGCATAAGCGCAAATATAAAACAAACGAAAAATAATAAAACCAAGTAACGAGAAAACGGAAAATAAAATCCTATCGATTTACAATATCAAGAGGATAATAACTGTACGCGTTATCAAGAAAAAGTCTTCGCTTAAAAACATGCAGCGAATCCGAAATTCCTAAGTACTTTTAGTATCAACGAAGCATAATTAGCCCTCGAACATCAACCACAATAATTAAAATATCTTGTACCGACAATAATATCGCATAAAAATACAATTTATAATAACCATGAACATATATAGCCCTCGAACACAGTGATAGCCCGCATGTGGCCAATAGCACCTGCACCAGAACCGTACGTAGTCATGTAACTCGAGCGAAAGTCTGTCAAGAACGATAAGTCATATGACAGAACAACGCTATAATAATCTAGTGTCTGAGAGTGATGTTCCTTTATGGTGCATGGTAACAATAATATTTTTGGCATACAAATGAGAACTTAATCATCATTTCACTTCCAAAATGAAAGAGAACGCTTCTTTAATTAAATTTATTGAACAGCGTTCAAATTATTACGACACGCACCTCGCCCACCTCATTATAAAGGACCATAAATCTCTCAAAATTTGTAAAGCTTTACTTTAAGACGTTTAAGCTGACTCAGAATAGCATGAAATTTATGTTGTTCCTGTGGCCGAACATTAAAGAGAACTAGAAAGTTATTTCAACATACGACATGAGTTCTGACGCTGTTGTTGTTTCAACATCACGGTTACCGGATGACCGGAAAGTAAATAAAACAAACCGCAGACCTAATCTTGTTTCGAGTACGAGGTCGAAAACAAGGAGGCGAGGAAAAGGAGCCGAGGAAAACAACAACGATGCGAAGATAAGGAGCCGAATTAAGACAACAACTGCGGCGCGAGGAGAAGAGAGTGAAGACGACAACAACCAGACGAGGATAAGAAGTCAAGGAAGACAACAACGAGGTGAGGATATAGGGCGGATGATGACAACAAGGAGGCGGGAATATTGGGCCGAGGACGACAACAACGAGGCGTGGGTAATTGAAGCAAATACGACAACAACGAGGAGATGATACGGGAACGAGGAAGACGACGAGGCGATGATATGAGACCGAAGATGATAACAAGGAGGTGATGATACGGGAACGTGGAAGGCAACGAGTCAATGATATGAGACCGAAGATGATAACAAGGAGGTGATGATACGGGAACGTGGAAGACAACGAGGCTATTATATGGGACCGAGGACGAGAACAACGAGATGATGACGATGATATGGGGCCAAGGAAGGCAAGAACGAGACGATGATGGCCGAGGACGACAACACCGCAGTGATCAGCTCGCACTTAACGTTCGCATGAATTAGATTTGCTGCAGGCGGACGAGGACTGAAATAAGATTTTATTGGCAGGAAAGAGGCGCTGAAAATTTGTTTACACGAAACGCGAGATTTATCAACGGAACTGAATTGCGATGCAAACAGATGCTGCTGTCATGTAAGAACCGGCTGCTGGAATAAGGTTTTACAGTAAAAAAGTGACACGATTTTGAAATAACTATTTTCTTCTAAGAAAATAAACCAAATTAACTTCATCTTATCATCGCTTGCGCAGGAAAAATCACATTAAACTTTGCACAATATAGTTCAGGATGAGATGAAATATCCATCGTGGGATAAAATATTGCACATAGAGAATTTAGGAAAAATTGCTGTCTCTGCCTCATATATAGTAATCAGTTATATTAAAAATACAGCATGGGCAGATGAAATGAAATTTAAATAAATTACAAATTTTTATATTATTGTAAAATGCATGTAACCGCAGTTCATCAACTTTTAAAATCAGATTATTATTTTTCAATTTAATTTAGGTAATATCTGCTAGAGTAGCAGATTGAGGACTCGTAATCTCTGGGCCGGCCATTGTTCGCGCGTCTGTGACCAACGACGGACGACGAGCCACTTTACCTGTGGTAGTTAGTAAGTTAGAATTACCTGTTAATTGTGTTTATACTACACGTATATACCTGTGCATATTTTTGATCATACATTTAATGTCTATAACTACGCCGGTGTTTCTAGTGTATATATTCATTTCTAAATGTTTTTATGAAGATATCCTGAATAATTTCAATTTGTTTGTTCCTTCTATTAAATCAAAGAAGCAAGCAAAGTGTTAAATTATTGAACCTTCTTTATCACTTAGAACTCAGCGTGCTAGGAGGTGAAATTCAGAGTTAAATCGTCCTAAGCGTAGCGTCTTATGAAGAAGCCATTACATGCAATATGGCAAAAACATTTTTCTATCAAACAGAAACGTGAACTTTTCATTTCTAGTCAAACGCTAATAAAATAAAAAAAATACTTAGGCATTATGCACCAGCGAGCATAAATGAAACGATGTTGTCCTCGTTAGGTAAAACACTTTATCTCTTATTGCTCGACAAAAACACGTTAATTATTGTTGCTAAACAAAAATACGATATAAGATATTATTTTTTGAAAACAAGTTTTTTCGATATATGTACGTTATTGGTTCTTGCTACTCGAGAAGAAGTTATTTTGCAATTTTCAATTTTTGGATTTGCGATACTGTAGAATAATGTTAAAATACAAATAAAAAGGATGAGGCAACTACTATGAGCCAATGAAAATATGCGCAGATTTTTTTTTCTCAGTAGTTATTACTTAAACGCTAATTGAACATGGTGCGAAAAATCGCGGTGATTTTATCTTTGACCTGCAGACAATAAGCATATATCAATGTCGTAATAAACGATGCCTTGAGGGAGGATGTAATAAGCTGTTATGTGAATGATATTTGTTTTACAGAACAATTAATTCATCATTAAATAATAAACTGAAACAATCGGTGAAAAATAATATTCCATAATTAGAACAACATATTTATCTTGCGTTCAATGCATGCATGTATTCGAGTTGCGAGTTGAACGAACTGCGCGTAAAAATGTTCCTGCAAAAATACAGGATGAAAGCATGAAATTACATGAATACGTTGACACCACTATTGAAAAAAGTCTTCATTTATTTATTGTCGAAAAATGAAATTTATTACATCCTCTGATTGATGGTTTGTTTCCGAATTCGATTTTTATTATAATAATAATAATCTTTCAGAATTTGAACCCACAAACGCTATCAAAATGCATCGTTAATAAATGATATCGTACCCGAGTCTTATTAAAAAAAAGTAAATCAATAATTTCCATTGAAATATTTCGCCCAATGATTAGTTTATTTA